TAGATATATATAATATCATATGTAGAATCTTAAATAAAAAGAATTAATCAAAAGTTATGATAAAAACTTATAATATCATATGACATTGTAAATATATTAATTTTAATTTATTAATTAATAAATATTAATTATTTTATTAATTATATAAATCAAATTAAAAAATAAATATTTTTAAAAATAAATATTTATAATTTTCTTTTGAAAAATAAATATTTATAATTTTCTTTTGAAAAATAAATATTTATAATTTTATATGCCCTCCTCATTTTCATAAATTTACTCCATTTGAACATATACACTATAGGGTTGGGTGAGATGGTGGTCGGAGTTTCGAATTTCATTATCGTTGTGAATTTCACCATAATGCGATCTAATGGTCGTGTGCTTTATTTGAGGGATGGAATATTTACCTGGTCTAAGGATAAATTACTAACAATTAACTTATTAACTTCCTAATTATTATCTTTGTCAAAAAAAAAAAAATATATATATATATATAGACTATAGGGTATCGCGCGCTCCACCAATGTGGTCTATGTGATCATTTTTTTGTGGTCTATATGGTCAGTTTTTATTGAAAAGTAGATGAGGATGTGTTCCTATCTCGATATTTCTCTGTCTTTTTAGTGTAGATATTAATATTATTAATGTAATTTTGATATTAATATTATTAATGTAATTTTTACTTTTTAAAAAAACTATAGTTTATCGCATTTTTGCATTTTTTAAAGCAACTAAAGTTCTATAAACAAATGTCTAGATACAATAATGGTATAGATATAAGACTACTTGGATTAGATCCCACCTTAACTTCATTTAACAACAAAATTCTTAATTCTTATATGGAGTTTTCTAATTTGTATCTTAAAAATACATGTTAAAATTATATTATTTTAATCAAGCACTATAGAAAAAATAAAAAAAAACTCTAATTTTTATTTTAAAATTAGAATTAATACACAATATTCTATCGTATATTAGTTAATTGAAAATTTTTTTTATTGGTAAATATTAAGTGGTTGAAATGTACAATATATTTAATGAAATACGAATTATAAAACAATTTCACAAATAACAAGCCCCACAACTAAGTGGTGGCCACGCTACCTTCAAGCAATAGATGGACTGCACTTCCTTCAACTGTTCGATCCTTCTTACATAAACAGATAACAACACTAATCATAATCATTTTCTACTGTAAAAAAAAAATAAAATAAAAAAATAAAAACAATTTCACAAATAAAATCTATTTTTATGTTATCTTTTTAATTGTGAAAATTACAGGGTTTGGCAGCACATGAGGAATCATGGAAGCTCACCTGT